GTTGAATTTGAACTTTTAGGAAGAAGAGCATGGTGACTTTCTGCGACGAGAATTTTGTGTGTTCCGGTTTTGCGTCGTCTTCGACGGACGATCGAAGATTCTCGAAGCACATCCATGATAATGTTCACGGAAACATCTATCTCGATTCTGTATTGCCTTTAATCCTTCGTATTTTCATTTTCATGTTTAAATCGTTCTGTAATTGTTTATCCTATGTGTTTTTAGTTAGTTTTTTTTTTTTTAATTGTATTTGAAGTTGAGAAATTTGCATCTGATGAAAATTTAGGTTCACTTGAGTAATTTAAACGTAATATCACCTGATTTTGTGGAATTTATTGTCTTCATACATAGCATGAATATTGGTTTTGGTACGTCAGTGAAGCTTTTGAAGCAGAGATGTCAAGTTATTCCTTTGTTTGAGACGTTTTTCCTTCATTTTTCATTTTCACGTTCAAATGGTTTTCACTTAAGTAAGTTAAACGTAAAATCACCTGATTTTGTGGAAGTTATTGACTTCATACATAGCGTGTATATTTGGTTTGCGTGTTTTGGTACGTTATTGGAGCTTTTGAAGCAGAGATGTTAAGTTATTTCTCTGTTTGAGACTTTTTTCCTTCAATTTTCATTTTCATGTTTAAATTGTTCATTCTCGGAGTTTTCAGTTGTTATATTTTGCAATTTGGAATGGAGAAATTTGAATTTGGTTTTAGATCGATGCCATTAATATGGATGTAATATCATCTGGACTCATGGAATTTATTGTCTTGATAGTTGATACAATGATACTAGCTTATTTGTTTTTTGTGTAACTGAAGATTTGATGCCGAGATATTAATGTTATTTGATTATTTGAGACGTTTTTTCTTTTTGACCGTATGTTATGGAATTGCAATTCATCGGTTTTATCTTCCAATTAGCCTAATAAATACATATTCAATGCGACATGCATCTCATATTGTACTTGTATGTATGTGAATAATTGCAATTTTAAGGGAAAAAATCCTAACCACTTAATAATTTAATCATTTTTATTCTAGATTTGTGATTTCTTCTTCTTCTTCTTCTTTTTTTATTTTTTTTTTTAGATTTTTTTTCTTTTCATAATTCAAGTTTCTGAGTTATGATTATTTATATGTATAACATATAGAATTGCTTATTAACTTTTAAAATTATTTTGTATAATTAACTGTTTTATATTAAGAGTATTTCTATGATATTTATATGTATGTGGGCTGATACTATCCTCCGTTGACCGCATACATGTAGACATTACATGGGATTTGAAGGATGGGAGTTTATATTGTACTTGTTTGTTATACAGGGTAATGTGAAAACAAAAGGCTTGAGATATGCAACTACATATATTTTAGTTATCTGCTGTTCTTTTGGATGTCATAATTGCTTTAAATTGGCTAGTTGATTAATGGGAATCGGAAAAAAATAAAGGAAAAATTAAATAGGTGAAACTTGTACTCTTCTTAAGTTATAGTTCGGCAGTGTGTTCTGATTCTTTTTTTACAAAAATTATTTCATTCTGAAAAGTTGCATTTTTATTAACCCTGAAATGTAAAATTTCCAATTGCACTATGCGCTTTAAGCTATGAAAATGTAGAGAAAAATATGCATTCTTAATTAACTTCTTCTCATTTTTTTTTGAATTGAATTGCAGCTCTCATTAAAGTTTATTGACACTGAACAATTTCAGAGGCAAGTTGAAAATTACACACTTCTTTTTTTCATTTTTCCTGTCCAGAAGTGAAGTGCATGTTACACTTTCATTATTGTATTTCCTTGCATATTTTTAGGTGAAGTAATTGTCTAATATGTTCCTTTATGTATGCAGACTTCGTGATTTGAAGCAGCTCGGTGAGTGGGGGAATTTTGTAACTGTTCTGAATTGATAACGTTCAATGAAGTAAATAAATTACCAAAGTTGTATGTTTGTCCAGATAGAACTTGGGCTGTTAAAATGAGATAGTAAGATGGAGGTGAAGCCATACAAGAGTAAATAAGATAGGAAATGAGAATACGCGCCTACATATAGAAGTGGCACTAGTTGATAATAAATTAGGGGAATGACCTTGGTAGTTGGGCCATATCTTGTATACGCTTACCAAAATTAATATTGTTTGATGTGGTAGAGAAATTGGAATAGAGAAGTGGTGAAAAAGGATTTATGTAGGGTTATTTTAATTTTTTATTTTTTTGTCTCGTGTTAAACTCATGTCTTTCCTAATGCATGTTTGCTACTTGCAAGACCAGTCTTGAGATGCTGATTACTTTTATTTGTATTTTCAGGTTTAACATACATGGTTTATCCAGGGGCTGTGCATTCTCGGTTTGAGCATTCAGTTGGTGTCTATTGGCTGGCTAGTGAAGCTATACACAGATTGAAAACCTATCAAGTATGTACGCATGGTCTGGTTGCTCTCTTTATGAGAACATTGTAAGAGTTTTAATGCATTCCGTCTTTGCAGGGATTAGAACTTGGTATTGAACGCTGTGACATACAAACAGTAAAACTTGCTGGTATGTCTTTCTTTCTTTTCATGTTTCTTTGGTAAACTTGTTTGCTAATCAAAGTACTAATTATTATGCAATCACTATGTTTACACTCATAACATAACTCTCTCTTTTCATATAGGTCTACTACACGATGTGGGTCATGGGCCATTCAGCCACATGTTTGAGCGCGAGTTTCTACCCCGGGTTCTCAATGGCCTGAAATGGTGATTTTCTATGTTTCAGTATTATATATTTTTTCGTCCCTTCCATCAGCATCTAATTTCATGGTTTCTTATTCTAATTTAACATTTCCATCTAAACTATCAGCATTCGTTCAGTTGTCTCCAATAACCCCTATCTGTTTGTATCAACATTTAGTTGTGCCATTCAGCCACGTGTTTGAGCACAGGTTTCTTCCCCAGGTTTTCAATGGCCTGAAATGGTGATTTTCTATGTTTAAACAACATAGATTTTGTTGTCCCTTTCAGGCTTCAGCACTTAATTATATGATTTCTTATTCTAATTCAACAATTCCATCTGCACTATAAACGTCCATTTATTTATCTCCAATTGTATCAAGAATCAGTTTTAGCAAATTAAATGAGAATTCTGGTAATCATTATTGAGTGAAAGTTCACTGTTCGAGTGAAAGTTCATTGTTTAGTAGTATCATTTGAAAGCAAATTCTGCACATGCTATATGCGCATACTACTTGCTGGGTTACTGTGTCTTCCAATGTTTCCTAATTTTTGTCTGTGGACCTGAAACACTAAATATTCTTTTTTTCTTTTCTTTTTCTTTTTTTTTTTTTCCATTCGATTGGAGAAAATACTTCCAATTACACATGGGACGGACATTCTCAAATCTCAATCTTATACAACTTAGAATTGATATCTAAATTCAAATTTCTTGAGGACATGGTGCTTACCTCTGCTTTGATTTGTATGATGTAAAATTGATTTGGTACTATTGACAAAATCTAGCAATTTACATGAAATTGTCTTTCATGATTAATCTTTTGTTGTCATCTATTACTAGTGGATAGAATCTTAAATCTGTCAGTCAAGTGTCCATTTTTTCTCGCTAAATTTTTGAAATGCGAATTCCCTTTATTTCCTCAACTTTTTTTTTTTTGACTTCTGTGTTTGTTGAACTATTTGTACTAGTATATCCACAGAAATTTAACCATTGAAATGCTTAAATACGTACTACAGATTTACTGAATTACTTATGAATGAATATAATGAACAAAAATTTTCAGGTCTCATGAAGAAATGTCTTTGAAGATGATAGACTACATTATTGATGAACACAATATAGAGATTGATTCTGAAAGTCTTAAGAAAGTCAAGGTTTGATTAACTGATCTATTTTATTTCCTCAAGATTCTAATTTTTTTAAGAAGGTGCTTTCCATGATTAAATAAGTACCCTATAAATGTTTTTATAAAGTTCAGAGCTTATTCATTTTCTCTTTCAAGATGGGATTTCAATGGGAGAACGAATTTCTTCTCAGATGTTCTTTTCACTTATTTTAGTGCGGGCTTGAGTTGTTTCTTAGGGAAGCAATGCTAGAGTCTCTTAGTATATGCTCCCAAACATTGTTGTCTCGCACATTTCCATGCTATGGATATTTAATCTTTTCTTGACCTGGATCACTTATAATGGCCTTCTAAACATGATGGACATTAAGCTGTTGGAATTAGAACGTGAAGCATAAGTATGAGATTTGTCTCTCCTTTCTATAGTTTGACACACGTCTGTTTTGTCCTCAGGAAATGATAATTGCTTCTGAAAATTCTACATCGAAAGTAAGTCATGCAGTGAGAAGTCTTCTAAGGAGCTGAAAATCAAGTGACAGTCTAATTTCTGAATGTTTATTGTGTAGAGCTCCAACGAAAAACATTTCTTGTATGACATTGTTGCTAATGGGCGTAATGGAATTGATGTGGACAAGTATCTTTTCTAGCCTATTTCACTTCCTCTTTAGATCAGCTTCTCCATTATTGTGGATGTTACAGCAGACCGTATTGTACCAGTGAAAGTTATTCCATCATTAGCAAGCAATTAATTACGGGTTTGCTTGATTGCAGATTTGACTACATTGTCCGTGACTCCAGGGCTTGTGGTCTTGGCTGCAATTTTCAGTTTCAGAGGTATGTATGATTGCTTAATAGCTAATTAATTTATATTTTTCTGACCCTACTAATTTTTACGAAAAATTCCACAATGATGTCTTTACTTTGTTTAAGTTAAAAGTTAAGCCTAACTCCAGTGCTATGAATTGCAGGGTTTTAGAAACTATGCGAGTAATAGATGATGAGATATGTTACCGTTCTAAGGAATGTTAGTATTTTGTTTTAATTTTTTTTTATTTCTTTGGGCAATTCTGCTATCTGATCATCACATGCTGAAAAGAATCTCCAACTTATGTGTTGGTCGATGTTCAGATCTTACAATCCACAAATTATTTGCTGCTCGGGCAGATTTGCATCGGACAGTATATACGCATGCAAAAGTGAAGGTGCCTAATTACTAGTGTATCTTCTGAGTTGCTTTGATCTATGTCTAAACTTGGAATGCACAATCTAACATTTAGTGTTTTTTAGGCTATAGAACTCATGTTCGTTGATGCTATGACAAAAGCAAATGATTATCTGCAAATTGCATCATACATTGATGATCCAGCTCAATACTGGAAGGTTAGTTGAGTTTATCAATGATTTATCGTAAAATGTATAATTTGTTTGATATCTCAGAAACCTATGTGGTTCATTTTATTTCAATCTGCAGTTAGACGACACAATAATGAAAACCATTGAAACTTCTTCCCATCAAGAGCTGAAGGAATCTAGAGACCTAATTCTTCGCATACGGAGAAGGGATCTTTACCAGGTATTTGCAATACAATTTAGAAAATTTCTACTTGTACATAATTATTGTACATGATGGTGTCTATAATGTGATGTGGCAATCATCCGGTTGTTGATGTGCAAGTGTGAGATTTGAATTAAAGGTTGGATCCAGTGCCACGTGTAATTATGGACACCATTATGTAGACAATTATGTACATGTAGTATTTCCCTACAATTTATATGATGTAATCTGCGACTTTTAACTCTTAAGTGTATGTTTTGGGTGCATCAACTTTGCTGAGCAATTTACTGACAGCAATATCTCCCTTTCCCGTTCCTTAAAATGCCCTTACAGTTTTGTAACGAGTTCGCTGTTCCAAAGGACAAGCTGGAGCACTTCAAAAATGTTACTCCTCAAGATATAATTTGTTCGCAGGTCTGATCAGATACATGCAAATATGTCCAGTCTAGACTATTGATATAAAACCTGACATATTGACTTCAATGCAGAATTCTAGTCGCCCTGCGCTGCGGGAGGATGATATTGCGGTGAGCAATGTCAAAATTGATCTTACTCGTGGAAGGAAGAATCCACTTGAAAGGTACTTCAGTGATACTTGGCTAAAGATTTTCAATGTAGATTCACGACTGACATTTCTACAGAGTCACTCTAAATTTTGATTTAACTTTTGCTGCGTTCATGTGCTTTTCTCTTCACCAGCATCAACTTTTTCCAGGTACAAATCTTCCTTTCCAAGCTTAAAAATTTTCAAGTT